CACAATGTTTTGTTGAAGAGATTCTGCTGCAAAAACGTTTTGACGTCATTCTCAATTTGAGGCTTTACATGACTTTTCCTTTCAGAGTCATTTTCAAAATCACCTTTCGTGCAGCTTAAATCCATCTTTCACCAAACTTTCTTTCTAACATCCAGAGAAATATGTCAGAAATCTGACACTCGGCTTATCTCGTCTATATTTAGCCTAAACATAGACATTGAACGTCAGTCTCCATGAGCCTATTTGATCCAGCCAGATTTTTTTTAAAATCTACATTTAGACATCAGGAGACATCTTTATGTTGATACGCTCACATTTTACGTTTCGCTGATGGAAGGCAAAGGCACGTTCTCTGGAATTTTGCGAGAGAGGGATTTGGTGGTGCTGTTGGTTTTATGTGTACATACTCACGAAGGAATCGTGACGAGAAACATTTTTCGTGTGCGCATTAATTGCAGCGTCACCCCGAGTCATCGCAGTGAATCAGTTGCTTTGATATGAGCCAAAAATATACATATATATTTTGTAATATGCCACATTTACAAATAACTTTAAGAATAGTTTGACAATGCTTAAAATACGTTCGGTCTCAGTAGCTGTTTTTTCTTTTCTTTAAAGTTGAATTTTGTCTCTAAATGGAACACATTGAAAGTTAGGCTCAGTTGGCCCATTTAAATCGCCTCTCCAACACGATATACATACATGTGGATATAAATAGGTTTTGGTGTAGGCGTCTTTTCAACGATTTTTCTCGAGCTTTTTAGACAGAGTGCTACTTTGTCTTTTCTTTGTGTAATTAACATATCTTTCCACAGGAGATTTGGTCTGCTGTTGGTAACGTGTTTGTTTCCAAGAATCGTGATCCTTGCGCTTTCATAAAAGGGTTCAATTGCTTGGATCAACTGCTTTGGAATGCCCAAATTGTGTATATTACATTTCTTTTAAAAAAAAAAAAAAGAAAAAGGAAGAAAAAAACAATAAAGCCAAATGAAACGCTGACTGAAAATAGCTTTGATACCAGTCTAAATCCTGCTTGCTTAATGCCCCACATACTATTTTTCTTTGTTAAAATGGATCACATGCGCGTATGTGAAACTTTTTACGCACACAAGATCAACATATTAACACACTCGCAGAAAAAAAAAATGCGGCAATCAAGTGTCTGTGGGTGCAGCAGACACCTGAAGGAAGTCACATGTTAAAGATTAGGTCTCTCAAATGCAAGTTGAAAGCAGTCCAAACACACAAAGACACTCATACGCCCCAGGTTAGACGTAAGGAAAAAAAAAAAAGATGACAGTTTGTTTGAAATATTTGTGTCATTTATCACAAACAGTGTTTATTTGTCGACTTTAAATAAATTGATACGGTTGCATTCTGCCCTTATTTTGTGCTTTCTGAAAATGTTCAGCCATCTCGCTGCGACGCGGTGCTCTCCATCTTTTCCAAAGCGATAAAATAGCTTACTCTGTCCGCCACAAATGACATTTTGGGGATAAGGGGAGGGGGGGGGGCGCATCTCGCTGCAAATACATTTTAAAAACTAAAGACTTTACATCAGTTTGTCTTCTAATGACCTTCCTCTGGATCATTTCTCGGTTTTCCGTGCGTGCAAGCTGTCATTTTGCTGACTGACCCTGGAAACACTCGTGCAGCAACAGCAGCAGCCTCCCCTGGCAAAGGGGTCGCCATATTTGCTGTTGTTATCACAGTGTTTATGGGAGCTGGCCGCAGCGCATTGGCGTTCATATATGACAGTCAAAAGGGTCATAAACGCTGGGGAGAGAGAGGCTGAAGTTTATGGTTGCCTCTCTCCGCCATAGTCCGGCCTTGCCTTACCTCGCCTCGCCATGCGCATCCTTTACTGCGCGTTGGAATTCCGTCCCTAATTACGGGACATCCTCCCCCGTTGCCAAGGCAACGTGGCCATAAAAGCTGTCTGAGGGTCTGGAGCATTTGTACAATTGGAGTGCTGGTGCAATAAACCGTCTGAGACCCAAGGTTATTAACTGTGTTACCAAGCAAGGCGACAGCGATGACAAGCAGAGGACAGGATGGCAAGAGAGCCTTTAGTGAGCTTTGCTGCATCGACTTCATTTTGGAGCTTTTCCCCCCTCGATTCGGCTCTTCTGTACTGAGGACTTGACGCTACTACCACTGGGCGGCGCTATTGGGACCAAAGTCATGGCCTTGGATCTTCTGCTCCAAACGGAATGCAGGTAAGGGTTTCCTCAGGAGAGCAGACATTACTCTGTAGCAGTAGCGTAGTTTCTCTTTTGCTAGGTTGAGTTTTCTCTCCTGATTTCTCTCTTTGGTACTAACTTGAACACAAAAAAAAGAAAAAAAATCTCCAAGCAGGACTTAATAAGGCAACACTTAGGCAATAATAATAATAATAATAATAATAATAATAATAATAATAATAATAATAATAATAATAATAATAATAATAATAATAATAATAATAATATCCATGCCTCTCGTCCCTTTCTTTGCGCTGAGCTTGACCGTTTACTAGTCTAAGTTTAGGCTTGCCAAATGTTTTGCATTAGGTTAAGCCGCTTTAATTGATAACAGTTGAAGACAGTTTCCTTCTCGTACCTGTGCATAACATGCAGATACCATTGCAGTTTATACTGAATAACAAATCATCCCCTTCCCCTGAAAATCCAACTCAGCGTGCTTCACGCGTTGTCTTTGATTGCCAAATTTAAACGCCACGAAGGCTCGATTTGCTTTCGGTAGTGCAGCAATCAGGTCTTTTCCTTTCCGTGTAGCCGAGATAAACTTTGGCTACGCTCGTGTCAGTTCTGGCCTTTTTCCCCCCCTCCCCATTCAACTCCCCCCCACCTTTTGTCTGTCTCTCGTGAAAAATAAATGCTTCCGCTGGATGTAATAAAACGCCGCATTATTGTTCATAACTGCACTCAGGACGAACATGATACGAGTCAAGCGGCCTCTTCGGCCACCATTATATGGGCCCGATCAAAGCCAGCGGTTGGAGTAAAGTGTTTTCAGGGTATTACAGCGCGGCAGCTGTGGAAATGAAGATTTAATAGCAACAATTAATAACTGTAACACAAAGATATCGATAGCTGCTCTCCACCTCTTATTCCTCAGCCTCCAAAATGCTTCTCCGACAACACGAAGTGTGCGTGTTATTAATCGATGGTTTCAGTTTCTTCTCTGGATCGTGTGTCCAAGAGAAAACTATGGTCTCTGCTGGGAGACGTGGGCGTGCTTTTGGTGTTAATTTGTGAATAAAATCGGTTGTATTTTGAACCAGAATGTTGTTTTAAGTAGATATATTTAAAGAGTAATTGACTAGGAAGCATGTATTTTTTATTTATTTATTTGCGTCATGAGCGGCGTTAATTGAAATATGATCACCTTTGACGTGGAAACAAAAATCTGCGGCTTTATAAAGTCAAATTGCATCAGTAAAAAAACAAAAACAACAACAACAACAAAAAAAAACTTTAGAATGTGTTAATATATATATATACACATCACGGTTTAAAACCGTGATGTTTGTTAAACATAAACAGATGTTTTTTTTTAACCCTCGGGAAAATAAATTAAAATAAAATAAAATAAAATTGCAAAATGATGCACAATTGGAGTTCTGTTGTGTCTCTCAATGCTCAACAGGAGAACCAACAATAGGACTCATATGCGTCAAAGATTTAGATCTGCTTGATACACACAGACAAACAAACTCACTCTCACACGCATTTAAAAATATGATAACTATTAGAATTTTCCTACTTAAAATTAACGCGTAAGTAGACAGACAAAGGGAAATTTTGAGCAACTGCATTGATAGTGTTAAAGGGAGAGATTATTATTATTATTATTATTATTATTATTATTATTATTATTATTATTATTATTGTTGTTGTTGTTGTCGTTGTTGTTGTTTGTGTTGTTATTAGTAGTGGTATTTAGCATTTAAATAGGTAAGTTAATGTTAACTTTGATATTAGTTATGCTCTGAAGTTTAAAAAGGAGACAAACAAATAATGTATCTATTGAAATCGTCTATACCTTATGAGAAACACAATAATAAATATGCAACATGAATTATAATATACAAATACATTTATTAGAAAATAGTATAAAACTTTTTTTTTTTAATCCTGAATTTCATAACTAAAAATAAACTGTGAACAAGTGAAAGCGTTTGAGAAAATTGAAGTTCATCAAGAAATTAAGAATGGAGTATCTTTTTGTGTGTGTGTGTGTGTGTGTGTTATTTGTCTAGGAGTATATATTTCATCGGTTTTATGCGCAAACTCTTATCCTGCTAACCCCCAGCACATATCAATATTAGTTCAAACTCATGAGGATGATGTGACCGCATAATTTAAAACAGGAAGTGTGCGATACAGCCAAACCTATCATAAGAGGTTTGACTTTGCTCTGTGGAAAAATGCGTACAATTTGGCTTTTTTTTTTAAATTTTATTTTGCGTAAACATTGTTCCTTTTTACCAGCTGTCGTCCTCCGGCTCGAAGATTCAACAGATAAAAAGCCACTCTGCCAAAGGCGATTCCTTTCTGCAATCTTATTAAAGACTTTATTGCCAGGGATACCCGCTGCTTTTGGTGCTATATCTTTTTTTGGAGGATCACAGCAGCTATGCAGTTTAAAATTACTTTCCATCTTTACGCAAAGCCTGTAAAGCCTCACGTTAGTGAATGTTAAACCAATTTTGAGGTTGTATTGGTTAGTTTAGTACCCACTCACCCCAAAAATTGGCTATTGTCTATTTTTTTTTTTTTTTGAGGATCCAAATAAATCTTGCTCTGATTGCTGAGTTGTTTTGTAATATTTGATCTGCTTGTATTGCTACAATACTTGAAACACTTAAAGTTTTTGTTTTGTTTTGTTTTGTTTTATTTTTTAGATATTTTATAATTTAAACAAATAAATATGTATATTACAACCATGTGCACTGTTGGACTTATAGTCTCTTCTGCACAGGTTGGTGCATAAAGACGAGGTGTGGAAACACTCTGATTGCTCTGCCCGCTTCTTTTTCTGCTTGAGCTCCATGATGGATTTCTGTTCGACTCCTACGTAGCCTGAAAGTGGGAGGGGACTGTCCCTTCTTCCTGCGTTTTCATTGGTTTTACAGTCCTCTCGGCGGTGAGGGGGGTGCCTCTAATCATATCCAGCATGTTTTGCACAAGAAATGTCAGCCAGAAAGGGCTATCTTCTCCCTTCGCCAAAATACACTACAATAATGTCATGTTCGGACAGCCCGTCTGGAAACGCATTTTTAGTGGACTCCCTGATCAGCGCCCGCACCGAGAGCGGCGGGGGTCACTATGCCGGGAGTGCGGTTTGCTTACCGCACAGCACCGCAGCAGAAGTGCCTTACGGACTACACAACTATGGATACTTCCCAGGTATGACTAAACGGAGCGAGGTCGGTCCCCAGAATGTGGTGTCCACCTCAGGTGCATACATGTCCAGCATGGAGATGTGGATGGACGCGCAGAGGTCATGTCGTATGGACCAAGAGCACTCTGTGGGTCCCCAGATCTCACCGTGCACGTTCCCGCAGAACATCAAGGAAGAGAGCACCTACTGCCTGTACGAGCAGCCCAAGTGTCCCAAAGCGTCCACCGCCGAAGACCTCACATATTCAAGATTGACTTCTTCTTGCACAGTCACCGATGGCGGCGGCGGCGGCGGCGGTGGTGGTGGTGGAGTTGGGGGCGGCGGGGGGTCGGTGCCTGTGCCGGGCTTCTTCCGCTTGTCTCAGACGCACGCACAGTCTCATAAACTTTACAGCGCCAACAACGGCCCCCAGTCGAACCCTTCCCCTTCCCATTCTCATTTCGGCCTGCAGCACCCCGCCGATCACGCTCGCTTCCACTCGCCGCCACCAACCTCTGCGTCTGTCCCAGCCACGGCGGAGAAGAAGGGGAAGGACGCGGAGGAAGCCACAGACCTGCCGCCTCAAGCTGCGTCGGGCACTGAGGAGGGGCGCGACTCCTCGGACGGCGAAGCCTCCTCTGCGGAGGAAGTGGAGGAGAATGACAAGGAGAGAGCAGCAAAGGTCAATAAAGGTAATCATTGCGGGACTTAGGTGTGGTCAGCCTTGTTTTGGTGGCAAACAGGTAGAGTGAGGCTTTTTACTGGCACCTGTCATGTCTTGTGCTGTGGTTCGGACTACAGTCAGACGTGGTGACACGTGTTTGTAAACAAGGCATTCACAAAGTATTCCACCAAGACGGTTTTTAGAATTATGATCATTGTTATTATTATGCGTCAAAACCCCAAACTTAAAGCTTATGAGCTAGGCTTCACTTAGCTATCAAATTTCAAGTGATCAAATGAGATAACTTCTAAAATTTCAGGATTAGAGATATTTTCAGTGATAGACCGCTGTGGAAACTGGCGCACAGGCCTACACACATTTTTGGTACTAGGTAGCATTTTCTACGATTTTTACTCCAAAACATTATTGTCGATATACTTTCCCTTTATGCGTTATTGGTGTAAACGTTGCTTATAGATAAAAGCTGTCAAAAAATAAAAAAATAAAATAAATAAAAACCTGCCATTATTTTACAGTTGAGAAAAGTGGCAGAAGAGAAATGTATTTTTTTTTATTAATTAATTTTTGAAATGTTCAATCACTATTCAGATTTGTAAATTTGAACTTTTACGTGTTTTAATTCGTGGCACATGTTTTGGTGCGTTTGTCATTTTTTCTTGTGCAGACATGTTTATTATTACAGCCGTCCTTTAAAATGTGTTTATAGCTACTATCCCCCGGGCACAGATTTGCTGAACAGGCATAGGAAAAAGAAAAATCTAGCTCTCCTTAGCTGATCTAAGCAATAGAAAGAAAAAATTGGTTGAAACATGAGACTTGAGAAGAAACTGGAATAATATCGCCTTATTGTTGTTTGAAGGGACCAGCTGCGCCAACAGGCAAAACTATAATCTCAGTCTTGCTAAAAATGTATCCGTTTTTCCTCATATTTTTGGTCGAATTAGTATGGAAGATATTACGCAACGTCTGAGTAACGTAAAGTCACGTAAAGACGTCTGTTTATGTGTAAATATCATTAAAAGGCGATTAGGGTGACCAAAATGTATTTTAAAATTTCTTTGAAGGCTTTATGAATAAAACTAAAACATTTTTTCTGGGCTAGAACACGCCGATGGACGCCCACTGTTTGGAAAGGAAAATTATATTCTTTGAAATATACAAAAACACACAGACACGTCTGAAGGTCATATTTTCATGTTTGTTGTGGTGTGCTTCATAATCACATGTGCTTAAGCTGCTTTGCTCTTGCATTTATAATCCTCACTGCGTAAAAACAAAACAAAGCAAAAAACAAAAAAACAAACTATTTATCTGCCATCCTTCTAGGAGACACAAAAAGCGAAAACACGGCCAACTGGCTGACAGCGAAAAGTGGCCGAAAGAAACGCTGCCCGTACACCAAACACCAGACGCTGGAATTGGAGAAGGAGTTCCTGTTCAACATGTACCTGACCCGAGAGCGCCGCCTAGAGATCAGCAAGAGCGTCCACCTGACGGACAGACAGGTCAAGATATGGTTCCAGAACCGCAGGATGAAGCTTAAGAAAATGACGCGGGAGAATAGGATCCGGGAGCTCACCTCCAACTATGGATTTTCATGATAAACAACGACTCAAAAAGGGAACAACACGTTTAGATGAATTTATTGACAAGCTATCCTCCAAATTCCTCAACTCCAAGCTCAAAGTCTCATTTCCCTGAGAGATTCAGCCTTCTCTCGTTGCCCATCATCGTATCTGACCTTCGGAAAAAAAAAAAAAAAAAAGAAAGCAAAAATAAAAAACAAAAAAACCATCTTTGGATGTTTTAGCTGTGACTGTTTCTCATGTGTTTTTGTATTGTCACATCTGTTGTAGGAAAGGATCAGTGCAGTTGAATACACTCCCCTCCCCCACCACACACACACACACACACACACACAATGTCTCTCTGTTTCTCGGCAAAAATATATGCAAAGTATTACTAGGGAAATTCCCTAGTAAGTTCCCAAATGAGCCGCTGTCTAAATTTGGAAAATATTCTCATTAATTTCTGGAGTTGTGCATAAGATTTCCACACAAATTCACGTTTGAATAAGGGAATCTCCAAGGCTGAAAAATCAATCAGAATGTGATTTTTCATGAGACGTGGGCTGCCTCTACACGTTCGAGTTAAATGTGTAAATTGTAACTTTGTTCACGCTGAGAACAAAAGCAGTGTGAAGGAGGAATATTTTTTGCTGTATATTTCTGTGTACAGGTGTGTTTTTCTTTTTGTGTAATGCCTAATAAATTATCAGCTCGGACTCAGGACTAGCAGCTTGAATTTTTGCAAAGTGGATAACAATATGTTTTGCTTATTAGTACAGGGGTAAAAAACAACAACAACAACAACAAAAAACATATATACTGATTAAATAGTCCAACATTTAAAATCAAACAGACTTCCTAACTCTGGAGATCCTTTTGTTTTGTTGAGAAAGGACCGTTTCTGAGACCATCGGAAATAATTAAGATATTAGGCTGTATAAGCCGTCCTGCTGCATGCCCAGCCGGCTATTGTAGAGTTTTATGACTGGCTGGTATATGAGCTTTCTCCCTCTCCTCGAAGAGCTGCTTCAGTTGTGAGAGAGCCTGTCGCACTGAGAGGAGGCCCGTCTCACAGGCTATTAGTAATCCGAAGGTACTGTGGATAAACTGTTTCTATACGCTTCAATCCGGGAATTAATGGGATAAACAGACCGAGGATTCGGGTGAGTCCATTCGCCTTTGTGATTCTAACTCCTTTTTTGTTGTTTTGCGCATTGTCTCGGTGGCTTATCTACACATGCAGTTTGTAGAATGCTGTCTTATAGCGAGATGCTGTGTTTTTTTGTTTTTGGAAACATGATGACGGAAGCGACCACCACCGCGCATTACGAACCGGCCGATTGTATTCCACTTGAGGCCCCGGATCGACTGTCGAGTGGTTTAGGTAGTTTCATGTTGTTGGGGTCCATTTCTTAACTCTGCAACATGAAACTGTCTTAATTGCCCCAGTTCCAAACCTCGAGACCAAGCGGAAGGCAGCTTGGAGAAATAAAGATGGTGGGACTTTTTTTTTCTCTCCCTCAATGTGTATAGGTGTTTGGATGGATAGGTAATAAATCGGGGAGGGGCTGGGCTGGTTGCTTTCAGTCTTTGTGTCCAATATTTTTCTTGCTGTCCTTGAATTCACTTCAATCTCGCTAAATACACGACAAGCGGGACTGGGGTCGAATATCTGTGACCGAAACTCCGACGCAGTTTGCCTGCTGGATCTGGGATAAAGCATTCCAGCGTTTTCCGCTATTAGTAGTGACGCAGACACGCCAGACAAGGCCTCGGTTACGACCACTGCAGCAGTGGAGGGGAAGGGGAAGGTGAATGGGGCAACAGCGACCTCCGCGGGCAATGAGACCGGATGCTTCCTCTGCGCAATAGTGGCTCCAAACACAAAAGGAGGAGGAATGGGGGGCTTTATGGCGATTTTCAGATCCGCCAGACAGGCTGTTATCTGCAGAAGCAAAAGAAGTGAATAGCCCCTGCGGTAAACCGCTGGGGTTGAAAAAGACACCCTGATTTAAAAGCTTTTACAGCCCTGAGAGCCATTGGCGTAGTGGCGTCTTTTCCTGCTGCAAAGGTGTTTGTCCATTCGAGGTTTCAGTGAACAAATAGACGCACTGCAGCCGCTCCGTCTCATCCTCCTTTCCTTCCTCTCTCGGTTTGTTTGATGTCTGCTACTTGGATACTGTGCAAGTATAACCAGAGAGGTGATGGGAAATCAGATTGTGCATTCTAGACACCTCGGAGTCGTTCCTTTCCCACATTCTCTTCTGTATGCTATGCAGAATGCAGAAAATCCACACGGCTTGGATTCCCTGTGGCCTTGTAAGGGTGTTGGCCAGACTGTTTATATGCTTGCATGAAATAAAACACCAGAGTCGTGCAGCAAAACCCAAAGTTGCAGCTTCTAAGACCCCATGCTACTACATTAGAGCTAGACTATTAGAAAATGGACATGCATAAACTCAAACATCCTTCTTTTTTCTTTTTTTTTCTTAGAAGTGAGTTGGTGTTGTTTTGTTTTCTTTCACACTTAATATATTCACAATTATGACGAAAATAATTTTATACATGCAGTAATAGTTCATTGCATAAATTGAGCTTTTAAATCTATGAATGTTTAGGAATGTCTTAAGATATTTCCTCACGGTAATTTAATTATATTTGCGCATTTCTTAAGTCTGGCACAATATTTCCGCATATTTATTTTTGCTTAGGTGCTTCAGCATTTTATAAACTAAAACTTTCACGAACCACATTTAAAATACAATCTAATTTTGTCGCTATTTTTTTTTCTTGAAGGGTGAAAAGTACATGGAATACAGATAAGGTTCATTTTAGTACTATTTTGAGCGTAATGTTACACCGAGTCTCGGGCTGCTGGCAGGTATTAGGAGTTCGTTTGTTAATGGTGGCGATGAAACCAACATGCAAGGGCAGCGCAAGTGATAACGGCGGTGTAAATAGTAAAGGACGTCGAGTTAAGCAAACTGCGATTTACCAATAATCTCTTAGATGGAGATATATATGAAAAGACGATACGAACTGGGTTTTTTATCCTGTGCCACATGACGTGAGTCGACTAATTTAGTCAGTATTATTGCATGCAGTTTAAATACAAATCTTGCTTAATGTATTTACTTACTATCATTGCTAATTTATCGCTTCATATTATGATTTAAAGAACGGCGAAATTACACTGTAATTTTTTTTCAACTAAATCTTACATCTGACAAAATGTTTTTAAAAAATCTATTTGGTACTTCTTAAATAAATAAAAATAGATCGGACATTGCACAAAAACTACACTTTTATTACTTTCCTGTCGCCTGTCTTCAATTCAGTCTTTATTTTCTTTATTTAGAAATAATAA